CCGTGCCTGAGTCCGGGCCCGAGGTGCCGGCTTCCTCTCCGGCCCTCCTCTGTCCATCGCTCGGACGTCCATTCCCTGTGCTTTTTTCGGTCTCGTGCGTGGTTTTCTCGCCACATGATCAAGGATGCTCTTCGATGGTCCTCGCCGAAGGAAGAAATACACACGTCCGAGCGATGCCTAGTCCTCTGGGCCCACCCTCCCCCTGGCGACACCCCCAGGCGGGGTGGCTCGCCATCGCTCGGACGTCCATTCCCTGTGTTTTTTTCGGTTTCGTGCGTGGTTTTTTCGCCAAATGATCAAGGATGCTCCTCGACGGCCCTCGCCGAAGGAAAACATGCACACGTCTGGGCGCTGCTTAGTCCTCCGGGCCCACCCTCCATCGGCCAGGCACTCGCCGGCGGCCCGCCCACACGCGCGGGCTCGCGCCTCGGCGGCCCGCCTCCGGGGGGCCGGCGCAGGGGCGCGAAGGAACCAGGCGCGGTCGTCCGACGGATAGGCAGCACGCGCCGCGTGCACACCTTCGGCGGCGAGCGGGGAGGAGGAGGAGGAGGAGAGGAGGAGGTGGAGGAGGAGGAGGATGAGGAGGAGGAGGCGGAGGAGGAGGAGGAGGAGGAGGAGGAGGAGGGGGATGGATCGCACGTGGAAGGGCGCGCACGCTGCCGCGGGCCAGGCCCAACCGAGCTCCCACCGCCGACAGGGGAGGCCCGCCGCCCAGGGTCCCCCTCCCCTCCTCCTGCCGCTAGCCGCACCTCGCCTCCCCTCCCCCGCGTGGCAGGGAACGGGGGGGCCCTCAGGGACACGACGAGCCCGGCATACCCGGGGGACTTGTTCCCCAGGACTGGCTTTTCATCAGAGGTACAAGTCCGAACCCGACTAGCTTTTCATCAGAAGTACAAGTCGGATTCCGAGCCCGGAATACCCAGGGGACTTGCTCCCCAGGACTTGTTCCCCAGGACTAGCTTTTCACCAGGTGGGCGCGCCGCAAGAAGCCGAACCCTGAAAGTCCGCGCGCGAGGGGCAATTCGAAGGCAACCTGCATGCAGCAGCTTCTCAAAGCCCTCAAGAAGCCACCGGGCAGCGCGCCGCGAAGAAACCGACGGTGCGCTGCCGAAAAGCATCTGCTCTATTGATGCGCGTCCCCGCTCCATTCGTTTACGGTCCCAGGGCCCGTGAAGGACCCCGCGAGGTCGTGGGCGGCGATAGAACCCTCGGGACACATTGCGACTCCTTTCTCTTCACGACGGCCTCCCCTCCCCTTCCTTCCCTCCGTCCTGGCCGCCACCTTTCCTGTTGGGGTGTGTGCCTCTGAGTCTGTCCTCCAAGCGGCCCTCCCTCCGCCCCTGCTGGGCGCCCCGGGCGTCCGACACGACAACCGCCCCCGCCCCCCCCCCTGGTCAGGAGGGAACCTCAGTAGCCAGTAGGAGGGAGTAAGAGGAGGAGTAAGAGGCGGAGGAGGAGGCGGAGGAGGGGTAAGGGCCTCGCTCCATTGGAGATGCGGTCCGCATCTTGAAGGCTTGAATGAGGAGGGGTGCATCAGCGATGCTGCAGTACACGCTCCCATCGTTAGCCCCCTCATGACAAGTGCATACAAGCATTCAGGTCAGCACGTGAACCCCATTGAAAGAAAACCATCTCATGGGCCTGCCATTCAAGCGAGCAGCCCAGTCTGAAAAGGAAGACATCGCCCACCATTTTCCAAGCCTGCGGAGAGCTGCAAGGTAGAAACATCACACCCAATGATGTGTCAACCAGCATCCAATGATATGTCAATCGACTTTCTATGATGTGTGATAATATCGAACAACGCCCTGCACCTGAGAAAGACATGTGCAAAAGATTGGAGGGCACATCTGGCGAGAGCCGGGTTTAGCACTAACGCCGCACGTTAAACATATCTGCGTGTTGCACAAGTGTGTACGTCTGGTGGACAAGAAGACGCCATGTTGTGCGGTCACCTCATTTTGAAAACACCGCACTCCATTCGAGTACTCCAGATTTCGTAATAAAGGGAGGGGGGTCTCATTTTGGGGGGGGGTCTCTTCCAGGCTATCTTGGAGGGCCTGGGGGGGTCTGGGGACGATGTTTTGGAGGGTTCTCCCACGGGGGAAGTCTGAAATGGCCTGTCTTGGAGGGTCCAGACCCCCTCCCTTTTATTACGAAATCTGGAGTAGCTCTCTCCCGATGTTGAGCTTAAGGCCATAAGGCGATGCTGAAACATCACCGCCCTCCATCCGTGTAGCTGCTGAAAACCCTCAAAATGACTGTGCGGGCGGCTCTCCGAGTGAGTTGATTCTGGAAGCTTTCAAGGCGAATGCACGCGGCGCTACGGTGAGACCAACACATTGATAACGAGCCGCCCTCCGTTCGGGTCGGGCGAAAGGGGGGGATAGCCAAGGGCGGGGTTGAGAATCAGCTCACGTAGCTGATTTTCCCGGCGCCTCTCGGCGCCGGAGGCGGCTATGTATCGAGGAATGGGCCCCTCGGTGAAGCCGAAACCAACTACATGCATCGTAACCCCCCCTTTCCCAATCCCCCCCTTTCGCCCGGCCCGATCCGTGCTTGTGGCCGCTGGAAAGATGCAAAGACAAACGTGCGCGGCGCTACAGCGAGAACCACTGTTCGAAAACGGGTCGCTCTCCATACGCGTAGCTCTTAGGAACGCCAAGTTCTATAATCATAGATGGTGATGCGGATGCGGACTCAAGTGAAATGACTAGCTCGTCTTAATTACCAATGTGCGTCGTGGAGCGACGGAGACATATTACTTAGAAGGGGGAATGGAGGTTGAGTAGACGGAGGAGTACGTAGAGCAAGGGCGCTCACCTCTTCCTCCTCATCTTCCTCTTCCTTCTGCTCCTCAAAGTTCTCCTGTCCCTGGAGTCCCCTTCGCGCGGAAATTCACAACACAAACTTGAGGCCTCCTCATCCTGACCCATGTGATCCTCATCATGGGGATGCGGTCGACATCTGACGCAGTGAACAATCCACATTCGTCGCGACGAGAACACGACGACCTTCGGGCCCCTCTTTTTGGATGGGATTCCCCAGCCCGGCTCGATTCGTGAAGGTTGACGAACAAACAACACACACACACCCATACCCATAAGGGGGTCGGAGAGGGCTATGCGTGCGTGTTGTCGGATGGGGGGGCCCGCTCGAACGGGAGCGTTCCCCAGGGTCCGACAACCCGCACCCATACCCATAGCCAGTCCTCCTCCCCACGAACCCCCCGATGGATATGGGTGTGCGTTGTTCGTTCGTCAAAGGTACCCTGAGTCCGAAATGGGGCGAGAGGGCCCATATCGCAGCTTTCGTTCTGCGACGCCGGGATGCCGGGACCCTCTACCTTTATGTCGGGCCTGTCCCCCTACAGGGGGCTTTTCGACGAAAACTAAAAACATACCCCCAAAATAACAAACAAAAATAATCCAAAAATAATATGGGGACTATTTTTGGAGCATTGTTTTACCTTTTGGGGTGTATTTTTGGGGTATTTTTTATTCGTCGTCGAACATCTCCCTGTAGGGGAACACGCCCGACATAACTCTGCCTTCGCACTCGACGCACGCAGGGTGCCGAGCTGGACCTTGGCCGCGGCGACGAGGGCCCCCCTGCAGGGCCCATGCACAGCAGGAGCGCTCCAGACCCCCCCTCCTCTTGACCCTCTCCTGTGAAGGGGCCCAGGGACACACAAACAAATACACACAAATAATAACATATCCCCCATATGTTTCCCATATTTTCAGGGTTTTTGTCTTCCCCACCACTTTCCATATTTTCCCATACTTTCTAGGGAATCGACGATCAATTGTGTCTGTGTGTGTTCTTTCCCTCCTGATCCTGGAAAGGGCGGGGCCCGACGCAGCACAGCACGCTCTTCGCCTGCATGCCCGGCTGGGGCCCCGGCAAACGAGAACCAGACGACGCCGAAGAACGTCCACATGACGTACGACCACCTCTGCGCCTGCACGCGGAAGCGAGCATGGCTGGGGAGTGCCACCGAGCTCTGGCCAGAAATGACGGCAGGAGTGATCACGCATCGATGCAAACGCCCAGAGATCAAGCACGCTGGAAGATGACGCACATTTCAACCGCACCAACTGCATGTTGGCGTGCTGGGCCCAAGGAAGCAAAGGAGGACGAGGGCGAGGAGGAGGAGGAGGAAGAGGAGGAGGAGGAAGAAGAGGAGAACGAGGAGCAGCAACGCCCGCGCCAGCAGTAGGAGAAGAGGCATTGGTCACAGGAGCGGGCGGAGGAAGAAAAGGGGACAGGCCGAGGGACAAGGGGAACCAGACGAGATGGATATTACAATCGCGTCGGCGAGCAGCGGGCGAGGACGGCCGAAAGGTTGGTCTCAGGGGGGCGCACATATACACATATATATATATATATATATATGTCCATATACATAAACATGTGTCTACACAGATGCTTGTAGTCATAGACATGTCTGTGCATATCGAGAAAGCTATGTTGGCGCTTCGCGCCATGCACTTTGGTCGTTGAAATTTGGCATGCAGGCTGAAGTCGCGGCAGAAGGGCAGGAAGGTAAACCAGTAGCAATAACGATAACTCCTCGCTGCCTTGTCTGGCATCTCCGTCATAATCATGCAATTCATTATCCTTTCCTCATGCTTCTTCTTCCTATTCCTTATTCTTGCCCTCCCCTGCGATTTTTTTCCCATTCTCCTCTGCTCTTTTTGCGGAGGCTCCTCTTGGAGAGCTTCTTGAAAGCCTCACGAACATTTTACATGGCTTCTCGGGGACGTCTGGAGGCCTCCTTGGCGCCGTCTGGGGGCCTCCGGGGGCTTCCTCAAGCCACCCTGCTTCCAACTGCAATCTCCCTGAACGACCGGGTCACGATTTGGAATGCTTCGGGGGGCGTCTTGGAGCCACCTTGTGCCGTCATGGGGCTCTCTTCGGGCCATCTTGGGGCCCCGTTGGGCCGTTTTGGGGGTCTCTTGGACTGCCTGGAAACCCTTTCGGATAGTTTTGGCATGATTGTGGGGCCTCTTGGGCGGCCTCGGACGCCTGGAAGACCGAAGAACAGAGCATTCCCCAAATCATGCAACAATCATTGGAAATCAATGATTTCTGCACTTCGAAAGCCTCTTGGGAGTGTTCTTTGGGTCGTCTCCAGATGTTTGGGGGCCTCTTGGGGCCCTCGGGGGGGCGTTCGGCTGCCCTCTGGGTCCGTTGCCTGGGCCTAGCATGGGCTTCCACGCCCCATTGAAGGGGTGGATAGAAGGGTCCCAGATGGCATAAATTTAGACAAAGGGAATGTCTGTATGTATGTATGCATGCATAAATGCATGCATGCATGCACGTATGTATGTATGTCTGTCTGTGTGTATGTATGCATATATGTATGTATGCATGCATGTATGTCTGTCTGTCTGTATGTATGTATGCATGTATGTATGTATACATGCATGCATGTATGTATGTGTGCATGTATGTATGTATGTGTGTGTATGTATCTGGGTATGTATGTATGTATGCATGCATGCATGCATGTATGTGTGTGTATGTATGTGTGTATGTGTGTATGCATGCATGCATGCATGCATGTATGTATGTATGTGTATGTATGTATGCATGCATGCATGTATGTATGTATGTGTGTATGTATTTATATATGTATGTATGTATGTATGTATGTATGTATGTATATATCTATGGATACATGCATGCATGCATGTATGTATGTATGTATGTATGTATGTATATAGGTATGTGTGTATGTATGTATGTATGCCTGCATGCATGTATGTATGTATGCATGCATGTGTGTATGTAGGTTTGTTTGTATGTATGTATGTATACATTTCTGTATGTATGTATGTATGGATGTATGTATGTATGTATGTATGCATGTATGTAAGCATGCATGCATGCATGCATGCATGCATGTATGTATGTATGTATGTATGGTTGTTTGTATGCCTGTATGTATGTATGAATGTATGTATGTATGTATGCATGTATGTATGTATGTATGTATGTATATATATATATGTATGCATGCATGCATGTATGTATGTATGTATGTATGTATGTATATATGTATGTAGTATGTATGCATGCATGCATGCATGCATGCATGCATGCATGCATGCATGTATGTATGTATGTATGTATGTATGTATGTACATATGTATGCATGCATGCATGCATGCATGTATACACAGATGTTTGTGTATGTATATACACACATACATATGCACGTGCTCGCAGGCTCTGGACACCCTGGAAGCATCACCGGTGGCCTCTCTCTTGCGGGGGCACCGTCCGCTCTGAGCCGCCCACGCCTCACCTCCGCAGGCTTCCGCCAGCCTCGGAGACTTGGACATGGCCACCGGCAGCAAAACAGGGGATGGCTTCCACAGGGGGGAGGCTGATCCCAGAGCTCGGTGCTGGTGGTGATCTCTCGGCCACCTAAGAGGCCCAAGTCTTACCACCATCGCCGAGAGTGGGGGCAGCTTCCATCGGTGGAGGCACACTGCAGATCTTGGTGTTGGTGCCAACCTCCGCGGGCCTCCGCCAGCCTTCCGCCCAGGGCGAGACCCCCCCCCCCCCTCCCGAGCCGAGCCGAGCGCAGAGCGGAGCTGAGCGACAGCGAGCGGCGCGGAGCCGAGCGCAGGGGGCCACGCGCACTTCCGGAGGCCCGCGCGGATTCGAGCGCGCGCCTCTCGGATCGCGGGCCGGAAAACAAATGCTGATCGCGAAGCTGGGAGCGCCCGCGCATGACATGAGGCCTCTCACGGGCAGTCGGAAAGCAGGCGCCGATGCCCCATTCGGGCCTGAGCTGGCAGCCCCCTCCTCGGGGGGTAGCCGCGCGGGATGGGAGGGCCACAGTGGGCGCCACCGCAGTCTGCGACAGAGCGCCTCGCTGTAGCGCAAATTTCTTCGATGGGCGCAACACCAGGCAATGAGTCTCGGTCGATTTGGTGTCACCACCCGGTTGGGGGGCTCCTGTGGTTTTTCGAGGGCGTCCCGGAAGCTGGTGGGTCCAGGAGTCACAGAAACCGGCGGTGGCCCCGTGCTCCAAAGCCCGGCGGTGACTTTTTGGGGATCCCAGGTCACTACCTGACATCTCACCACCTGGTTTGGGGGCTCCCAATGACCCCCCCCTGGAGCGCGGATCGCGCCGGGTGCGGGGCCGGAGGCGCCGCCAGGGGGTGTCCAGCGCAGATCCAAGAAATTCTTGCGGGCCTCCAGCAGTTCATGCTTATTCGGCTACGCGCAAGAGTGACTATGGGCAAGAGTGACCTTTTGGTGCGCGGCTTTTTGGGGGCCGCGGGGGGACCAAACATCAGCGTGCAAGACGCTGCTATCGCATCGCGCTCGGCGATCGGGGGGCCCCAATGGGCCCGCACCAGAGGCCACTCCGGCGACGTGTCACTCTTACGCGTACGTAGTCGACTCATGCAGTTTTCTGGCCATCGCTCGGACGTCCATTCCCTGTTTTTTTTTTCCAGTTTCGTGCGTGTTTTTTTC